TCAATGTATGGTGTACGGCTCCTGTGCTAGATGCCCTGGGTTCAGGCCCTGGTGAGGGCTGGCATTTTTTTTTCAACGTGGACTTCTAGTAATTTCCCCCTGATTTCTGGGTAGTAAAAAACCCCTTGGCCGAAAAGAGTAGCCTAACGGCGCTGCCCGGACAAAATTTAGTGTTAACAATGTACCCAAAGTATTTCAGGATCCTCACCGCTGCTACGAAGCCCGTGCACTGCGCTGAGCTTCCTCGGACTCTGACTTGAGTTAGAAGAAGAACGATGCACTTCAGAATGCCAAGAAGTTGATCCGTTGTTCAAACTTCACACTTCAGGCAGCGTCTCCGACGGCTCCCCGTATCAATTGTGGAACACTAGCGACTAGAAAGACGGAATAGAAAATTGGCAAAATATAAAATATTATAAAAGTAGTCATATGTGGCTTGAGCGTTGCGAACGCGCTTCGGAATGCCAGATGGCCGGGTTCGATCCCAGTTGCAGGCCCTTTTTTTCCCTTTACTCTTTCATTCCTGTGGAGCGTGTGACGCGCAATTGACTTTTCTTTTTTCAGTAATGTTAACCCCGGTTTTACTATTGGTCAGAGCTCACTAAAGAAATCTGGCTTCCCTGTTTTCCACTTGTCGATGCAGTATATCCATGCTACTGTTGTCCTTGTTATTGCTTCAGTCAGGCATCATCTTAAATGTTCTAAGTCTGAAAGTATTAAGGGCGAATGCATGAAGGGAAGAAAGACTGTCTTCAATAAAGAGATAACACATCGATGTATCTTATCTTCTACTATTGCTTGTGCCCTGTCACACTTGTTATCAACATGGGAGATAAACAAAATGAATTTTTAAATCAGTGAGATATCTAACTCCAGTTTGTGATAACATTTGAAGTTATGGATGGTGCAATAAATCGTTTATCTCAGCGTGTACAGGCTGATAAATGCGTCGTGATGGGAAGGTTTAACTTGATTGGATCACACATTCTAGGCATTTGCAGGGCATTGTATACCCAGTGGTCTCCAGAGGTGGGGGGGGGGGGGGGGTCTAAGGGAACGTCAAACAATTTTCAAAGTGGCTTCATCTGTACTTGTAATAATCCGCAATGCTTCCGTTTTGCTTCAGAGTAATTATAATTAAAATATTTTAAAACAAATTTTCATACAAAGCGACATTGACATTTTTGTGTGTTCACATGCAGTTTGAACATGTACCGTTAAACTAATTAATATGATAACACATGCATTTAATTATAAATCTAGAATACATTCTGACTAAAACGTATCTCCACACTCTGTTTTCCTAGTTGCAGAATTTATTGCACTTATTTTTAACCACATTTTTTCTAACGTTCGGGCACGTCCTTCTCTATTTATATACAGAAGGACCTGGTTCAGGACACTGGGGTCTTGCCATATACTTACGAGGGTGCGAGGCCTTATAATATACTCAAGGGGTGCGTGTAGGTCTTGACATAAACTCAAGGGAGCACAACCTGAAAAAGGTTAAGAGACCACTGGTGTAACCTGTGGGTCGGTCACTGTGTCGGCTGGTCCGTCGATAGGTTGGTTAGTCACTTATTTAATCAGGCATCTCTAAAAATGAATTCTTCTTCTTCTTCTTCTTCTCTTCCACCTTGTACCTCATCGAAGTGTCGGCGGGAGATGTCATGTACGTTGATGAGCTCTTTCGAAGTGTCGGGGGGAGATGTAATGTTCGTTGATGAGCTCTGTCAAGAGCACTATTAAGAGTGATGTTCATTTCTGACAGACTTTTCTTGATGCCATCACTCCATATTTTCCGAGGTCTTCCACTCGCTCCATCCCCGTTGTAACGTTTTAGCGTGACTCGCTGTGGCAGATAGTACCAGGGCATTCTTGTTAGGTGTCCAAACCACTTTATTTGATGTTCTTTGATGACCTGTAAGACTGGCTTTATTCCTAACATTCTAGCTTGAATTCACAATTGTGGAAACCCGACCGAATTTGTCTCAAACTACTGAAATGTCCTAACAGGTTACACAAATTTACACTAACTAAGCACAGGTCGAATGACAACAACAACTACAGCAACAACGATTACGAACACATCATATCCGAATGCTTTGTGTAGAATACAACCAACATTTATGGAAGAGATTGGATTAGTCGGTTAGATTGTATTGCAAGTAATCCACATAAATAAACAGACGGAGAATACTTAAGGCCGTATAAATATTTTATATAGGAGTGCCGATCAGCAGATATGTTTGTGTAATGTATATAATGTCCTCTCTGCGATCAGCTGACGGCCCTGCCCGGCACTTGATGCTGCTTTTGGAAGCTGTGACTAAAGCTCTGGGGTCAAGATTCCACACTCTTCCTCTGAAGGTCGTGTAAAGGCAAACGAAGGTGGTTGATAAGTTGACGTCCTTAATGCTTGCGCGTTCACCTTGTCTATCAATGGCTTAGGTGTTGCGTTCGAGGGTAGTAATGCGGAACTACCATGTTCGATTCCAACTACAGGCGAGTTGGCAGCAATCCACTTTTTGTTGATTCCAACAGGGATACGTAGGCCGACCATGCAGGAAACAACGATATACTACTTAACGTAAAATTACGTTTTCATGCATGTGCTTTTTTTAACCTACGTGAAACGCTTTAGAGCTTTTTACTATTCAGGACTACACTACAGTAATTTTACGCGGACCCAGTGTTTTTACAGTATCACAAAACCTCATTGCGCCGATGAAACCTGGAAGAACCAAAAATCCAAAAAAAAATTATGAGGTTGCTTTAGCAACGTCCTGTACAGCAAGCCTGACAAACTGGAGGCCAACATAAAGGAAATATCCTGATAAAAAAAAAAAAAAAAATTAAATGACTCCAGACAGTTGTCGTATGTGGCCCTAGTGACGACCAAATATGACCTATGTCGCCCTCGGAACGACCAAATATGACCTATGTGGCTATAGGGACGACCAAATATGACCTATGTGGCCCTAGTGACGACCAAATATGACCTATGTCGCCCTCGGAACGACCAAATATGACCTATGTGGCTATAGGGACAACCAAATATGACTCATGTCGCCCTCGGGACGACCAAATATGACCTATGTGGCTATAGGGACGACCAAATATGACCTATGTGGCCCCAGTGACGACCAAATTTGACCCGTGTGGCCCTCGGGACGACCAAATATGACCTATATGGCCCTCAGGACGACCAAATATGACCTATGTCGCCCTCGGGATGACTGAATATAACCCATTTGGCCCTTGTGATGACCTACGTGGCCTTTGTGACGACCAAATATGACCTGTGTGGCCCTTGTGACGACCAAATATGACACATGTGGCTCTCGTGACTACCAAATATGACCGAAGTGGCCCTCGTGACGACCAAATATGACCGAAGTGGCCCTCGTCACTACTAAATATGACAGATGTGGTCCTCGTGACGACTAAATATGATTCATGTGGCTCTCGTGACGTCCAGTATGACCGATGTGGCTCTCGTGACGTATAGTATGACCGATGTGGCTCTCGTGACGTTCAATATGACCGATGTGGCCCTCGTGACGTCCAGTATGACCGATGTGGCCCTCGTGACGTTCAATATGACCGATGTGGTCCTTGATCGACCAAATATGACCCATGTGGCCTTCGATCCACTAAATATGACCCATGTGACCTTCGATCGACCAAATACGACCCATGTGACCTTCGATCGACCAAATATGACCCATGTGACCCCCGGCGGAGCCTCGATTTGACATGCTTGCTGTAAAAGTTTCGCAACTAACGTGAAAAAAAAAAAAAAAAACTAACAGCTGTGAAACAATTGCTAGTCACTTGCCTGCTGGTTCTAAGGTCTCGGAGTCGAAATCACATTCCGTCTGTCCCTTTTAAGGGAGAAAATAAAAAAAAATCGTCACGTTCAGCCAGCGTCCCTAAAGGGGAAGCTTTATGGGTATAATTGTGGCTTAGGATTTTTTTGGCCAGATAAAATGGCGTAACGTTGCTCGCCACCGGCTAGCCCTGAAAAGGACTCTTGCGGGGTTGGTTCAAACGAAACTGTCTGACCAAGCCGTCTACCGGCCAGCTGATGGGCGATACGTTCGCCGATGTGTTAGGCTAGTTGCGTATCCTTTACAGGACGTTTTAAAGGCAAATTTACGTCCAGTAGTTTGCCATTGTTTTCTGGACTCTCGGCTTTATAATTGACATTGGTTGCCAGGTTGAGCCAACCTAAATGGGCACCAGAGAGTGCCGGGGTATTAAAGACGACCGACCGGATCTGTACCTCACCACCCAATAATACCGATGAGTCTCCACAATTATAGCTATGTCCAACACTACAAGCTGTATTTGCCACGAATGCTAAAAGGGACCTTTACTCTCTGTCTGTCTGTCTGTCTGTCTGTCTGTCTGTCTGTCTGTCTGTCTGTCTGTCTGTCTGTCTGTCTGTCTGTCTGTCTGTCTGTCTGTCTGTCTGTCTGTCTGTCTGTCTGTCTGTCTGTCTGTCTGTCTGTCTGTCTGTCTGTCTGTCTGTCTGTCTGTCTGTCTGTCTGTCTGTCTGTCTGTCTGTCTGTCTGTCTGTCTGTCTGTCTGTCTGTCTGTCTGTCTGTCTGTCTGTCTGTCTGTCTGTCTGTCTGTCTGTCTGTCTGTCTGTCTGTCTGTCTGTCTGTCTGTCTGTGTACATAAAGTTATATTTTCAAGATAGGGGGTGTTTACAAGTTTTACCTTGTTGGGTACACAGGTAGGGGAAAAGAAGGCAAGTGTATTACAGTGAAGTATGTAGTAATTAATTCTGCCACATAGAAGTGGGATTGTACGTCTAAGTCCCGTTAATTGGTAAAGACCCACACACACACACACAAAAATTTGCATGGATGAGAGAGCAGTTATAACTAATGGGCGGGTGATGGGTCGAATGTCAAATTATTGCAATTTTGATGTTTTTTGTAATGTTTATTTATCTTCATCACAAGTTTATCTTTCCCCCTCTCCAACAGAGCTTCCCCCACAGTCTCCACACACTCCAGTTCACAACAAACCCGTGTCTAGAGCTAGTTCCTTGGAGACGCTCCTACCTGCTGGACAGTCGAAGGATCTTCATTCCGTGAAACGGTCCTTGACTCCAGTAGGGACGCAAACTTCCTTGCAGACTTCTACACAGAGCTACACGCAAACCACAGAGGAAGCTGGGTCACAGACACCTTACGGGGTCTCCAGTCAGACGTATACTGAGTCTACAGAGGAAGCTGGGTCACAGACACCTTACGGGGTCTCCAGTCAGACGTATACTCAATCTACAGAAGAAGCAGGTTCACAGACAGCCAGCGCAGCCTCTAAACAGACTTATAGCCGAACCGCAGAGGTCGCGTCGCAGACACAGCTCGTTTCCAATAGAATCTACGGTTTAAACTCAGAGGAGGTTGTGTCCTCAAGACGAATTTCTGTTTCTAGACAGCCATACAGTCAAACCACAGAGGCATCCGGGACGCAGACACAATTTCCAGACCCCAGCAGGCTCTGGAGCACAGAGGAGGTTGGGTCGTCTCGACGACTCGTTGTTTCCAAACAGCCATACAGTCCAACGACTGAATCAGTCGGGTTACAGACGCCTTTCTACGTCTCCAGTCCACCGTACAGTCAAACCACAGACAACGTCGGGTCAGAACCGCAACTCTCTACCTCCAACCAGACCTACATTCAAACCACAGAAGAGCTCGGGTCGCAGACCCCACTTAAGTTCTCGAGTCAGAACCACAATCAAACAACAGAGACTGGGCCACAGACTCATCAAACGGTCACCGCTCGGACATACACACAAACACCAAAGGCGCTCGAACCACACACCTCTGAGAAAGACCAAACAAAAACCACATCTGACGCCGCAACTGAAGCTTCTCTTGACGTATCGGACTCTCTTGTTTCAGACTCACGTAGCCAGGTCACTAGAAACGGCCGATTATCGCCACAGGATTCTAACTCACATCGGAATAGGCGACGCAGGGAAAAGGATACCAACGGTAAATTAACTGTTAACCTTCGTCAGACTGTCGTTTTCTGTAACTTTCTGTCGTTATCTTTAAACAGTTTGCTTGTCGTTATTTGTAACTGTTTGTCGTTATCATTGACGGTTTGCTTGTCGTTAGCTGTAACCGTGTGTCGTTATCTCTGTTTGCTTGTCGTTATCTGTAACCGTGTGTCGTTATCTCTGTTTGCTTGTCGTTATCTGTAACTGTCTGTAGTTATCTTCAAATATTTGCTTGTCGTTAACTGTAACTGATTGTCGTTATCTCTAACTATTTGCTTGTCGTTATCTGTAACTGTCTGTCGTTGTCTATACTGTTTGCTTGTCGTTATCTGAAACTGTCTGCCGTTATCTCTAACTATTTGCTTGTCGTTATCTTTAACTATTTGCTTGTCGTTGTCTGTAACTGATTGTCGTTATCTCTAACTATTTGCTTGTCGTTATCTGTAACTGATTGTCGTTATCTCAAAGTTTTTGCTTGTCGTTATCTGTAACTGTTTTCCTGTCATCATCTGTAACTGCCTGCCTGTGGCGATCTGTGTAGGCCAAGTGGTCCGGCCGTCTGCCTCGCGCAATGAAGGTTTCGCAGACGCGTCATTCAGTACATGAGTGCTGTTTTTACAGAGACCGCTATGGATCGTCGCTTACGCTCCGGATTTCTTGCTTTGTGTGACGATCTCGGCAAACGCCTGGCCGGTCTGGGGAGAGAGCGAACCATATAAGATACCGTAGTTCAGTAAAAGTGATCCTCTCGACTTTAATCCTTCCATATATATATACATATATATATATATATATATATATATATATATATATATATATATATATATATATATATATATATATATATATATATATGGAAAGACTGCAATTGAAAGGAAAATAAAAAGAGACAGAAATCAAAAGAGACAGTTGAAATACTTTGGCCACATTAAAAGACATAACATGCTTTTAAAAACCATACTGGAGGGAAACGTCAAAGACAAGAGAGCAAGAGGTGGGCAGCGATACAAGTTGTAGGACGACGTCAAGAGGTGGACGGGCAGCAGTCTGAGAGAGTGTGCAACCAGGGCAAGATACAGAGCGTGTTGGAGATCCATTGCAGCCAACATTCACTGTGAAGACGGCACCTGATATATATATATGTATATATATATATATATATATATATATGTATATATATATATATATATATATATATATATATATATATATATATATATATATATATATATATATATATATCTTGGTGTAAGGTCTGTCTTTTAATCTGTCCATTTATATATTTCTTGTCCACAGTTATGCACTGTTTGTCTATTTTGCCATCTTTTTACATGTCTTGTTATCTGTTTGTATTCTCTTATTTTTTCCCTGTCTCCCTCTTCTTCCTCGTTTTATCTTTTGTGTAGCCTTCTGGCTCTGTGTTTCTCTTATGTCTTCAGTGCAACTCCTTAGTAGCAGGTTCCATATTATTCTTGTTAAATGAATACACAATTTACCTTTATTATGTTCTTTTGTAACTCGAAATGTTATAATGCGTCGTTCAAACTTGTGTTAAATTCCAAAATGGATAAAACAAGACTTCTCCATCAAGGTCTCATATGGAAACCGGAAGGAAAAAGAAAACGAGAAGACCAAGAGAGACCTTGCAAAGAACCATCATCAGGAAAGGCTCAACCATGGGCTTAATGAACATCCACGACCTAAAACTTTTGGCAACGAACCTCTGCCCTATGCGCCGCCCTATGCTCAAGTCTAAGTTTTTTAATGATCTGCTTGTGAGTTATAGGGGTCCATTTTGAGAAGAAAAAGAATATATAACTTTAACTCTTAGCAAGCTTGAGGCAGAAGGCAGCTATGGTATTGCTGAAATTTGATTTACTGAACCGAAATCCCCAGATATCACAGCGTAGCTTTAAACCACACATACAAACGAAGAAGAAGAAGTAGAATAATTGTTCATAATTGCAATTTTTCGCCTGTTTTTAGTCTGGATTATTATAATTTCTTCATTAATAATGTTCATCTCTCCTTAATACTCTGACGACACATAAGATAGAACGGATATAAAACATAACACCTTTTTTTTTTTCAACACCTATTTAACATTCTTTGTTGACAATGAACGTCTGACAAAATATAACCAGCTTTGGCTTTTCCCATAGCCAAACTATTCCCATAAATGTTACACATGTCTGAACTCCCAGCTCTTCCCTGGCATATAAATTACCTCACGTAGCTAGCGTGCTCTGTGAGATGTCGGCCTGTTTGCCTTGTCTGGTTCAAACATTCCTAGACTTGTTTGTTCTCCCAGTTCATTACACGTCCGCAGAAGCGCTGGACATAAGGCCTACACGTGTGATGTGTTCTAGCGTTGAAGTTAGGTAATGATACAGGTAAGAGTGATTCTCTGGGCGGTATTCTCGTAGGGACGCGAAAATATATCGGGCTTCTTATATTCTTTATTTAATAAACAAACATATAATGTGCGGATCGACACTCATATCGAGGAATACAAAGATAGAAGGACACACGAGACAACATACAAATTGAAAGCTATAGTTACCGTGACGGGAATTGAACCTGTCACCTCAAAATGGCATGTGCGCCTCGGTATGGAAACAAGTATTCCAAGAACATGACAAACTAGGCACCCCTAAAAAAGGTCTCTTTATTGGCCATGTCTATCGTTCAGCCTGAAATCCCGAGCTATAGAATACGGAACAGAATTCATCTTAATCTTATATTCGAAAAGAAAGTCGAGAGGATCGACTTCCTTGCACGGGTTGTATCCCACAGGGCTCGGTCTCTCTTCGTGAGCACCACGCAGAGCACGAACTTCATAGATCCCCAGGGATCTCCGTAAAAACTGCAACTGTGAACAGAACGGCGCAGCCATAAAACGAACCCACGACTTTCAGAACGCGAGGCTTCGCAGCTCGACCACTTCGCCAGGGAAACCCCTCTTATATTTTAAGTTTCGTTTAATGTGAGACTAACCCACTTTTAACACAAGGGATACCGTTGTTTAACAAGGCAAGTCTAGTAAGAAGTATATCTGGCCACCCTTGTGCTATCATTGCTAATCATGGATCTATATTACAACTAATGAGCGCAGAATCATAACAGAGACTAGCTTTTGCCGGGGGCTGCAGTATAACCTGACGGTTGAACGCGGTTTCTGGGACCTCTCCACGGGTGATCCTCATCCGCATGGTGGCACTTAGTGTTACCTGGTGTTTATCGCTCAGTGTGATGTTCTGCTGGGGTAGAATTTACTAACTTACTTAAAAGCATATTTGTCAGTTGGTTGCTTCCCGTGGAGAGACGCAGCCACAGCTTTCAGCTTAGCTTCCCATGCGGGGCCAAACTAGTTTTCTTTCCACTCTCAGACACGCCTGGCCAGGCCGATTATGTTACCGTGCCGAACTATTGAATCTGAGTCATCCAGGAAGGGAAGCTAGGAGATCAAATACTAGAGTGAACTCTGATGCGTCTACCAGAAAAAGGAGGAGGAATAAGAAGAAGGAGAAAGAACATGTGGTGGTGGAGGTGGAGGAGAAAAAGAAGAAAAAGAAAAAGAAAGAGAAAGAAAGAAAGAAATTAATAAACAGAAGGAAAAGAAACATGTGGTGTTGCAGAAGAATAAGGAGGAAGAGGATATCTGTCTGAAAAGGAACATCCATTAGGTAGAGAACTGGACAACCATCCTATGTTGTGAGTAAAGTAGTTATGGTCCCTTTTTACGCCCCAGGCGCATCGGGTAATGTGGTCAGCATTACGCCGGCCGACTTAACTTCCCCATGACAGCCATCCTTCTACCCATTATAGGCTGGGTCGAAATGCGACGCCCCATACCGTGATAAATCCCATTTAGCCAGCAGTGGGTTTCAATCGCGGTATGTTGGAATTACGAGTCGGACTCGCAACCCTAAGCCACGAACGCCACCATATGTTGTAACCTAGAGTGAAATTTCAAACCTCAAAAGCAGTGTGAGACTACATTTATTATTACTTTATTTCTTCTCCTTTTTTTCTTCCTCTCCTCCTTCTTCTTCTTCTTCTTCTTCTTCTTCTTCTTCTTCTTCTTCTTCTTCTTCTTCTTCTTCTTCTTCTTCTTCTTCTTCTTCTTCTTCTTCTTCTTCTTCTTCTTCATCTCGTGATAAGAGTGACGTTCTGCAGAGGACGTACTACATGATGGTGATGCTTGGTTAGGAGCTGTGTACCTCTCCTGAACTGAGTGGCAGAATCCCCACGGGGAACTAATTACTTTTACCAATCGTGGCATCTTCCGCCAAGCACTGGTCTATTTGCTACACTGCCGTGATTGGCTACTATTGAATTAGCAGGACCAGACACCACAATTGGAGATCCTATGTGACAGAAATACCACCGAGAAACCTCACTTCCTCCCTATTTCAAGTAAAAGATACTCCGCTGTGACACTTCATTTCGCATCGCCAGTGGTGAACCCCAAATGGCAGACGCCGGGAGATCTTTATATTTAACCTATAATGCAAGTTTGCACAGCAAAGAATGTGTTTCGGGCGTTTG